GATTTCTTGGAAACTTCAAAACAATTGCACGGGGAAACATGCTCATGTTGGCAGCCACCCCAAGCAGGCCAGTGGACAACTCTGACCCACTTCCACAGAGCTACCAGAGGAACAACCTGGCAGGACAGGTTACTGCAGGGGGGCACGTGCAGGGGAGAACTGTTCACTGGGAATGTGCACAGGCTCTCTAGGATGGGAAAAGACCCTTCCTCCCACCACACAGAGGGACAGTTCCCGCCTTACCTCTTTGTGAGGCTACCAGATGCTCAGTCTTCCCCTTGTCCTGGCCAGGAGTGGTTGTGGGGGCAGCGCTGCTCATCTCCCTCTCTCGGGGCTCCTGGGTCAGGGCCCCGTGAGCGAGGTGGGAGCGGTGACCTCCATTGCCAGTGCCGAGGTTCCACACACCAGCCTTGAAGCCAAACAGGGGAGCGAGGGCACTTGGGTATGGAGGTTTCCCAGGTTTTGCCACACACCATAAACCCCTTCGCTTCTTCATCGGGGTTTTTAACATGGACTGAGAAGAGGCTGTAGACCAGGTAAAAGGGAGGAAGTGAGTTGACCTCACACCTTTACAATCAACCCATCTAATGAGTGAGATATTCAAGGGTTTTTTGAATCACTTAGGAGATCAGTTTGTTTCTAGTTTTTCATGCAACTAGCATCAGCCTAATTCCTCTGAACAGGACTGAGCTAGCAAGCCAGGAGAGAGAGATGGAAGGCTCCACTGGTAAGGGGGGAAAAAAGATTCCCATTTGAGACTTGGCCTCTGTGAAGGCTACCAGTAAATACCTACATGGTGCTACTGCTATTTCTGGAAACCAGAAAGATATCTCAGCAAGTGGGCAGACCTTGCTGGTGTTTTTACAGCACCATACCATCTTCAAGGTCTGATATGATGAGCAAGCAGAAGAAGAACAGGAAATTTACCTACAGCGAGACCAGACAATGATAGCAAAGATAGAAACAGACCTTACGTATCATTACCATGTCCCATTTGTGGCCAGCTGAGCCACAGTCCCTGTCCTGGCTGGCAGTACTAGTGATTTGGCTACTGTTGAAAAGGAGGAAGCATAATGAACTAATGATAGAAAGATGTGATGCCATGTGCATGCCTGGAGGATCATCTTGTAGCTGTCAGCCACCTACTGTGACACAGAGCCAGCACTGACATCCACGGCCCATTTCTCCCTGAAATCTGGTGGGTTTGGGGTTTTTGGGCTTTTTTTTTTCATTTGGCTGAGGCCACCACTGCATGCTCGGCTCCTTTCTATCCTCACCTTCAGTGGTCCGTCCGTTGCCACCAAACCGTATGTTCGGACCGACGCTTCCGCCCTGCAGAGCTCTGTGCCTGCGTTTGGGTTTGAGAACGCTCCCAGCGGAGGCAGCAGCGGGGGCTTGGCACCTAGCTTAAAAATAAGGACAGGACGGGTGACTCCAACTCCCGGCAGCGGACAGGGAGGGACCAAGCCAGGCACGTCTCCTCCCGCCATGGTCCGTGCCCCCCTCACCTGCACACCCTCTGCGCGGGGCTGCCCCTGTGACGCACCCGCGTTCGGTCCCGCGGGCCGCGCAACGTTCGGTCATTTGCATACCCGCGACATTCCCAGCCCATCCCTCCCCCCCCCCCCCCCCCCATTCTGTCCCCTTCCCATCCCCATCCCACCCCCTACCCCATCCCCGACACCACCCCCTTCCCAAGGGCAGGCAGCCCTGCGCCTCGCCGGGCAGGGCTCGAGAGTTTGACACTGTCTAGGAAGCAGATGCTTTCCAAAGCTAGTTTTCCAGCCCTTTGCCTCTGTAATTCCCACTCAAGTCTGGGTTGGGTTTTGTCAGGTTTGGGGGGGTTGGGGGTTTTTGTTTATTTGTTTGGTTGTTGTTTGTTTTTTGTTTGTTTTATTATTATTATTATTTCTCTTAACTGCAAAGGAAGTGCTGGGAAACGAGCAGGTGTTATAATTAAAAGAAGCTTTGCACTCTGCTTTTGATGTTCCCAGTATTCAGTGGGCCTATATGATTAATGTATCTGTAGGGTGCAAACTGACCATCCAAATGTTCTCCTTCATTGTGACACGGATTTATTCCCTGTTTTCTCTACTGCAGAGGCACCCAAACACAACATAAACATGATCTGCATCAAAAAATTTCTGATCTTGGCTGTTCCTGAAAATTCAAACTTATACACAGCATATTTCCCTGTCCCTTGTCCTGGCCAATCTCTTCCCTATTCCCCAGCCTCCAAGACTGGGCTCTCACTTGCATAGCATGAGGAATAGCTGCTGCTGCACTTGCCAGCGTCTCCCGGGTCTCGCGATCAACACTTTGAATGCAGCTTTTGTACATGCTCTGTCTCCCTGAGCCCAGCAGTATTCCTGGCCATCGGCACCATCGCTGCGGGCAAACATCCTCCAGGCAAAGGCTGCAGGAACGAAATTTCAAGAAGTCCTGGCTGAAGAAGTCTCCCTTCTGCTGCAGCCCTCTACCTGCGGCAAAATCACCTTGCGCTGCCATGGTGAGGGCAGAGGGGGTCACAGGCTCTTGGCAGATGAGAATCTACCCGAGGTGCTGCTGTCGCTGGGCCTGACACAGCTGCCGGTGCGTTTCCCTGCAGCATCAGGAGCCTACATGGAAAAATAACACTGCTAGTGCAAGTGACAGCCACCAATCCCTGGCATGGCCCTGCCTACAGGGGGTCCTGCATACCGAACTGCTCGAGTCAGGTGGTGTTAGAGCAACATAAAAAGATGTTCAAGCTATGTGTTTTCCACATTCTGTCAAAATTACGGCCATAAAGTCCAAATGCTGGAGAAAGACTGCTGTCAGCAGCATGGGGGAAGCACATCTCTACTCCAGCAGCTGCTTTCCCCACGGCTGTTTGGGCATGGCAGCGGAGGCAAGTCTCTCACCGCACCCACTTGCTGTTGGATCTGGGACAGTGCCTCAGAGTTGTTCCCACTGAACTCAGGGCTGCCACTGCAGCAGGAGCACCACTCCATACGTTTGATAACAACGAGCTGTAACATCATACAGGACTTGCCCCAAAAGCTACCAAAAAAAAAAAAAAAGAGGGTTAGAATAGTTTGCTCCTTTTCAATACAGACCTATCTGGATTTAAGCAGGAGCACTAGGCTAATGATACTGGAGACTGGTGTGTAACCCCTATCTCTAGCACTTCCCACTAGTTTGCAAGATTTTTTACTGTGGAAAGGCATAGATAAGATTTTACAACACACCTATGAGTAATTCTGAGCCACAATTCAAACCACAAGACAAATACTTCCAAATCTGCCACCCACTGGGAAAGGAAGGAGAAAAGCAGTTGAAACAAGTGCTGTTGTAGATAAATTGCCTGCATTTATCATGTTGCTGAGGTACCTCTAGCACTTGCAGCACCTCAGAAAGCCTGAAACTACAGCACAACTCATAATTATGGATGGCAGCACCCAGAAGCTTCCTGCCGTGCTCACATCAGCAAGCACATATCCCAAAGGACTACTGGAGTTGTAGACGGTGCTATAGCATGCAGGGTGTATGAGGGCAAAGAAAGTTTGTGCTTAGCCCTTCATGTTAGTGCTACAGCAAAATGTGACAATGTTCAGCTTCAGTCCCTGCAGACCATCTCTTTGCTGGTTTGGTTGCTTTTGCTTCAAAACTACTTCTGACAGAGACTTCAGTTGCCATACTGGGCTTCCTTAAACATATTAGCCCATTCCTTATGGCCTAAGTAAGAGGTAAGAGGGGATTTTGCAGAGCATATTTTAGGACAAGAGGTCAGGATGGCAAGGCAGCAGTAAAATCCCTGTAGATGTGAGTTCTGAAGGATGCCAAACAGAACCACTTTTGAAAATCCACTCATAGGTGCCTCTAAGCTCTGCAAACACAGTGACTACCACATGGCAGCTGAGTGAGGCTGGAAGAATCAATCACAGACACAGTTCAGTTAAATTATTACAAAAGGAAAAACGCCTCTGCACTCAATGGAAAAGGGAAAGGCAGATCTCTTTTACTGTGTTCTGTAAGCTTAAAACAAATAACAAAGAATGCCTGTACAAGGCCTTAGGTACCCTACTAACAATCTTGACAATCAAACTTACAGTCAGATAAAATGGTATCCTTAAACAAATTTCAATGGAAATTGTTCATATTACAGCAAGGCCTTGTAATGTTCTACCCCCCACCTAAGTGATTTAATTCAGCTCAAAAGCTGTCAAAGTGTTCATCTGGAGTAAAGGTAGTGTTTGCAGAAAGGCTGAAGTCAGCTGAGACAGTTAACCCACTTCTGGCTTTCATCTTTTTTATTAGCTTAGATAAATCATAGAATACCAAGTTGGAAGAGGACCTCAAGGATCCTCTGGTCCAAACTTTCTTGTCAAGAGCACCTAAATTCACAGACATAGCTTAAGGTCAAGGACTGAAAGTGCTTGGAGGGCTCATAGAGCCTGATTCCCATTACTTTCAAGGGAAGGCAGGCACTAAATACCTTAAAAACACAAATGTAGGTCTATTTGAGACTGCATACTTGAAAACAAGGACTCTTTCTACCCTCCAGTACTCTCTTGCCCAGCCTGGTGTCACCTGCAAACTGACTGAGGGTGCCCTTGATCCCCTTGTCCAGACCACTGATAAAGATATTAAATATGACTGGCGCCAACTGGCCCCAGGGAACACCATTTGTGACCAGTTGCCAGATGGATTTAACTCCATTCATCACCACCACTCTCTGGGCCTGTCCATCCAGACAGTTTTTTACCCAGGGGAGAGTGTGCACATCCAAGCCATGAGCAGCCAGTTTCTCTGGGAGGGTGCTGTGGGAAATGGTGTCAAAGGCTTTACTAAAGTTTAGGTAGACAGCATCCTCAGCCTTTCTCTCATCCACTGAGAGGGTCACCTTATGATAGAAGGAGATCAGGTTGGTCAAGCAGGACCTGCCTACTCATGTTGGCTGAGTCTGATGCCCTACTTGTCCTGCATGTGCTGTGTGATGGCACTCAAGGTGATCTGCTCCATGACCTTCCCTGGCACTGAGGTCAGGCTGACAGACCTGTAGTTCCTCAGATCCTCCTTCTGACCTTTCTTGTAGACGGGAATCACAGCTGCTAACTTCCAGTCACCTGGAACCTCCCCAGTTAACCAGAACTGATGATAAATGATTGAAAGTGGTTTGATGACCTCTCCTGCCAGCTCCCTCAGTACCCTTGGGTGGACCCCATCTGGCCTCATTGACTTGCATGTGTCTAAGTGGTGTAGCAGGTCACTGACCATTTCCCCTTGGATTATGGGGGCTTCCTTCTGCTCCTCATCCCTGTTTTCCAGCTCAGGGGCCCAGGTATCTGGAGGACAATTGGTGTTACTTTTAAAGACTGAGGCAAAGAAGGCATTAAGTATCTCAGTCTTTTCCTCATCTTTTGTCCTATATTTCCTCTCATGTCCAATAAAGGATGGAGATTCTCCTTAGCCCTCCTTTTGTTGCTGATATATTTACATGAATATTTTTATTGTTTTTTACAAGTTTCTACAAAGAAATTCTTTACTGTGAAGGTGGTGAGGCACTGGCACAGGTTGCCCAGAGAAGTTGTGGATGCCCCATCCCTGGAAGGGTTCAAGGCCAGGTTGTATGGGGCCCTGAGCAACCTGGTCTACGGGAAGGTGTCCCTGCCAACAACCAGGGAGTTGGAACTAGGTGATCTTTAAGGTCCCTTCCAATTCAAGCTGTTCTATGATTTTATGATTTCACTCCAGTAGCCAGATAAAACTTGAGCTTTGTTCCTTCTAATTTTGTCCCTGGATAACCTCACAACATCCTTATAGTTGTGAATTGCCTGTGCCTTTTTCCAAAGATGATGAACTCTCAGTTTTCCCTGTGTTCCAGCCAAAGCTCTCTGTGGGACTAGCACATAAAGCAGGGATTCAGGCATATTTTCCTAGGGCTCATTGCATAGGAATAATATCTAAGAAACACATCAATGGCATTTTTGTCTGGTTAAGATCACTCCCTAGATGAATCTGACCATGCCCCATTGCTTAAGGTATTAAAAATGCCCAAGAGAAAGTCAGTGTGTCCTGTAGCTTGGATAGAAGCTGCCTCTGCCATGGACTTTCCTATAACACAAAGCCAGGCTTCTCCACGGCTCAATTTTGTTCCTTGGCAAGGCTGTTCTGCCAAACTAGCATGCTATGAAGTGTAACCAGAAAGGGCATTACTTATGGCACTGTCTTTGTGGTCCCCAAAGGCTTAATTGCCGAAATTCAGGACATAGATCCTATTTAAGGCCAGGTACGTGATATGGAAAATCCTGAATGTAAAGCCACCCCTTTCTCCCTTGCACTGAAACCACTGCAACTGGAATGAGACCAGCAAAGCAATCTGCCTGCAGCCTGGGAGAGCTCTGGGTGTGCAGGATTCATCTTCTGCCACTGCTGTCGGAGCATGGAAAACAAGCTGGTGCCATTCTCAGTACCGTGGAGACCAGTGGCAGTCATTCACTGCTGAGTGAAAAAAGGTGTTACAAAATGACTTTCTGAAGAGGGAAAACGAACACAGCTGCATTTTAACAGCTCCAGGCCCTGGTGATGTTTCACCAGACAGTAACTACACTCCTTGTCATCCTTCTGCTGGGTTAATCAAAAGGAAATGCATCCTCTGGAATTTTTCAGCTTCTTGGGATCATTAGCACCCAGTAAATGAAAATGGAGACTATTTAATGCTACCATTACTTTCTTTCCCAATCAACAAGCTGCCTTCCCAGTGCAGTAAAAATACAGTATCATTATGTGAAACGTGCTGATGCCAACAACCCTACAGAGCCCCTCAGGACTGGAGCTACTGTGGAGGTTGAACCTAGTATCTCACCAAAGGCTTGTTGGGGTAAAATTAAGGAGTAAAATTAAATTGGAGTGATGACAGTTGTTTGGGGCTTTTTTGACCACCTTACAGGGTCATAATGCACCTGTGGCATAAAGGTTTTATACAGAGAAAAAAGCCATCTCCCTGTGGAACTGGGCAGTTTCCCCAGGCCTGCAGGAGAATCACAGTGCAGATCCTTGTGCTACTAATTGCATCTCTCCCCACTTTCCCAAGTTCTTGGTGTCAAAGTCGCTTAGGTTAGACACTCAGCTTACAAGAAGTGCTCCTGTATTTTTCTGCACAAAGAATACAAGTGAGATTACACATCCAAAACCAATTTTCTCTTACAGCTGAATTTACTGTTTTGAGGAGTTTCTGAAGCAGCAAAACTTGCTTCCTCAAATATTTACTGTGCATGGCAAGGAGTACCGATAAAAGATGTAATGTTAAAAGCATCGCCCACACAATGCTCTTATTACAAGTTCTGCCTCAGCTTTTATATGGAAAATCTGAAAGGTTCAATGCCCCTATCAAAAGCTCCTGCAATGGCTGTTCTTCAGCAGAGCAGGGTTGCTCAGCTGTGAAACAAGAGTTACCACAAGCAGCAGCTTACCCAGGGCAGCAAATGAAAAGTTAGGAATAAGCTGATCTGAATGCCAAACCTCGCTAGCTCCTTCAAAAACCACTTGAACAATTCCTCATTCCAGATCTAATGAGGTGTAGTGCTGGACACCACAGTTATTTGATTACTGTACACAACTTTGCTCCCCCTGAGTG